TTTTCTCTAAAGAGTTCCTCTCTTCATTAGCTTGTCCTGATATACCTACCCCAGTTCCAATTCCTCCAGTGAGGTCGTGTGATAGTCTTTTGGATGGCCAATTTTGGTGTGTCCATCAGGAATGCTGTTGTCATTGTACACTAATGGCATCAGTGCAGTTTGGATAAACCACTGGGTATCCCTAGCAATTGGCAGGTGAGTGGAGGTTATGTCTAAGGTTATACCCTTGTCTGGGTATTCCATAAGGCTTCCCAGAGGCATGCTTGCCTTAGGGTGGAATTCATACTGTCAGAGACTTCTGTCTACCAACTGACTTCCATAAATAGTTCTTTAAGGACAGTGTCGGTGCCACTGGTGTTGGGTAAGAGCATCTAGCCACAAGCACAGGCTAGTGGACATTTGGTTATGTCCACTAGGTTATGCTGCAGGTTATGCTACAGTAGCATACACAAGAGGCAGCCAGGTTTCTTCCCACACACCCGGACAACTGTCTAAGCTGGTCATCACCATATCTATTGTTATTCAATATTCATCTAATTAGACCCCCCTCAATAATCATCCAAAGGCAGTGTTAGGTAAATATTCCTGCAGGGCATCATATTTGCTGAGAGTCTTATAATAGAAGCACCCTGAAAAGCAGGCACCTCAGAGAATGTTTAGAGTGGAACTGTTCCATTCAGTGACCTGCATTTCATTCTGATCTATGTCATACCAAATGATGTGGGCTCTATCAGCAGGGAAATTGATGAGGTTTGCAGGGAACCAGAAAAGATTTTCAGGTTTGAAGAGAGAAAGATTTGGGGGTAGACAAATAGAGGAGATTATGGAAAGGAAGGTGAGCAGGGAAAACATTTTTCTCATTTTAACAAGGAAATTTATAACCCTATCCATTTAGAAAATTATACCAAGGGAGATCCCACAGATCCCAAACAATCTCTCAGGGGTTTTGGTTAAAGTATTCAGGGTTTCCAGTAATATGCTCTATAGAAAGAAAGTGAGAATGAGAGTTAGTTCCAGGTTCACGAGGACTGGCCTGATCCGATGTCTCTGAAAGAATATCTGCTTTGGTTGTTGCTCTAGAGACTGGCTGAGCCTAGGATGTTTCTGAAATCACGGGTAGGTGTCAGATACCGATTCAGAGGCCCAGGTATGGTCATGAACACAGCCAAGATCTCATTTTAGATGTGAAATATGACTCTCAGAAGTGACTCCCCTTTAATTTTACAGGACAAGAGTTAGTTAAAAGTACCTGGTAAGGTCCTTTCCAACAGGATTGTAGGGAGTCCTTTAGTTGGTGTCTTTTCCAACAAAACAGTCACCTGGCTGTAATCCATGATCCCTGGAGTCTTTGGTCCCCAGGAGCTCACTGTGGAAAGATTCTGTTGCCGGCTTTGTATTGTGTTAAAGTGCTAAGTAGTCCTTGACATTAATGCAGTATTTCCCCCCTTGACTAATGTGGGCTCATATAAGCCTTTGTCCAGCCTTCATGGGTCTTCCTGCTATTATTTCATAAGGTGATAAAGTGTTTTCCAAAAGGAGTGGATCTAAGGTTAAAGCAAGACCAATGCGAGGGCTTTTGGCCAAGGGAGGTTAAAAACCCCTGTTAACTTAGCTAGTTATTTGTTGTGCTATTTGTCCATTCTACCAACCCAGAGGACTGGGGATGATAGGCACAATGGAAATACTGTATTATGGGCCAGATTTCACAAATGGATTGAATCACTTGTCCACTAAAATGAGTCCCATGATGCCTGTGTAGCTCAGAAGGGGTTCCCCAAGTTGGAATGATTCCTTCTAACAATAATTTGCCTACTGTGAAGGCAGTAGCTCTCTGACAAGGATATGCTTCTACCCAGTGAGAAAACATACAAACCCAAACCAACACATATTTATAATTTTGAGATGGCAGCATCTGGATGAAATCCAATTGCCATACTTCAAATGGTCCTGCAGGCAAAGGAAAATGACCCTGGGAGCCACATAAGGGCTAGCCAGGATTATGTTTTGGGGGACACAGTATATCAAGAAGGGTTTGTTTTTGTTTTGTTTTTTAACTTTTTAAAGGTTGAATTTTATAACATGTTGATTATATCTAAAAACCAAAAAAGATCTGTTTACCACAGTATACTATGATATTTAAAGTGAGAAACAGCCTAAATATTCAACAACAGGGGAATCTGGTAAGATCCTGACAACCACCGGACTGCAAGAGGGCGATGCTAATGGCACGGGCTTGCAAAACTGCCACAAGAAGTGGACACAGGAACGAGCACTGGAGGGAAGCAGAAAAATGCAGACCGTTCAGTTAGGACTATTTGCTTAATATAAAAAAAATAAATAAAGTTTTCTGTTAACACGTGAGAAATACTTCAGACAGCAGGCTCTGTACTAAGGGCGGGCTTTGTATTAGCACCCACCCTGAATTGGTGTTCTAAACTCTATTTTACAGATGAGGAGACTGAGGCTTAAACGGCTAAGCACCATACCCAGACAAACACAGTGGTGGAACAGGGATTCCACCTCTGTGGGTCGGACCCCTGGGCTGGGCACCCACAGGACACCACTTCCAGCGTATTTTCCACTGTTGTTTAAAACGAGGGTTTGGGGCTTTGGTGTTTTTATTTCCTCCAGAAAGCTGTCCCATCCGTTTTCTTCCCTCCCTGCTGCGCAGTTCAGCTCACAGAAAGTATCTGTAGAACACCCAGGGGAGGGGTGTGTCGTGGTTTACTGAGGTCACTTACCAAAGTCACTGAGGAGACCAGGACAGGTGGCAGAGCTGGCTTTCCCGCTGACAGACACCTGAGCTTAGAGGTGAACGCCCACGGAGAAGGCCAGCTCCAAACCCGCTCCACCACTCAGGAGTTCGAAGTGCCACCCAAACTGCGTCCCTGTAAAGCAGGCCCCTCAGTGCCCAGCACTTACTAGGCGCTCAAGACGCCTTAGCTGTTGTGTCCAGCTGTCTGGAAAGGCCAACAACAAGCTGCGGGAAATCGCCCCGAAGGGCCCAAAGGGCGGCCCCGCCAGGTATGGGTGGAGCCTTCAACCTCAGGGCTTAGAAAGACGCTCTTTCCAGTCAGACCCTGCGCAGCTACAGGTCTCAGGGTACATCCAACGCGGGGTACCTCCTCCTGACTTTAAGGGGTGCAGAGCCGACCCCACAGAACCAGCACGCCCCACATGCCCCAAAACGCTGGCCCAGGTCGCACCGCGCTCGCTCCTCCCGCCCCTTTCCCTCCTTACCCACCAACTCCCCGTCCCTCCCCAGCTCTGCAACCTGGACAGCAGCAGCCCTCGGACCCAGGGCACCCCAGCCAGCCCGGGCCTACCTGTGCAGAGGGTCCTTGCCGGCTCCCCCTCAGGCTCAGCATGGCAGGAGTAGAACCAATGCATGGAAAGACCCAGGAAGACCTTTTAGGTTATTATGAGGGATGTTTTCCAGAAATATTGTTTTCCCCATGACATCATTTTTTCAGGGGCCCAATGAGTCATTTCATGAATAAACTAAAGAAGAGGTTATTGTGCCCCTACAGGAACCATAGTTTTGTGTCAGGGCCTAGTCACAATTCTCTACACCTCCTTCTTGCTGCCAGATTTTTCTCCAGGGGTTTCTATTGATATTGTAAAGGATTGTTAGTGAGGATATTGGCAAGATGGAGGGTACATTCTCGTATCAGGCAGGCCATCTTTCTTAGGGCAGCATTCTTTGCTGCAGCACCAGCTACATTATTTCCTTTTGCTTCTCCAGTGTTATCCTTTGAATGCTCAGGAACGTTTGATTGTAACCTACCTTGGCATGTTGATTGCTTCTACTAGCTCTGAGACTTGGTGTCCATACCCTATAGGTTGCCCAGGTGAGTGTGCCCATGCTGTTTCCATAACATGCTGAAATCATAGGCCACTCCAAAAGTACAGCAGCTATCAGTGTATACATTTGCTATCTTTCCCTCAGCCAACTGGCAAGCTCTAGTTCAGGGGTCCTCAAACTTTTTAAACAGGGGGCCAGTTCACTGTCCCTCAGACCATTGGAGAGTTCGCATCATGGGCCCAGGATGAGTCAGCTGCTAAGCAGGACAGGCAGTGGCGACAAAAACACCCGGAGGGCCAGATAAATATGCTAGGCAGCCCGTACGTGGCCTGTGGGCCATAGTTTGAGGATGCCTGCTCTAGTTAATGCTGTTAATTCAGCCACCTGGTCTGATTTTACTCCCTGGAGCTGGGTACTTTCTATTATATCCATGACAGAAATGGTGTATCCTGCCCAGTAATGCCCCTGGTCATCCCTTAAATTAAGAACCATCTGGGAACCAAATTAATTCAGCTTTCCTGTAAATCTTCCCTAGGGGAGAGCAAGATATTAGTAGACTGCAGTCATGGTCTTCCTCTCGCTGTTCACCTGGGAGAGGGAGGAGAGTAGCAGGGTTAAGAGTGTTACAGGGTTAAGAGTGTTACAGGGTTAAGAGTGTTACAGCACTTCAGAGTGATGTCCGGGGCAGAAAGCAAGAGCACCTCATAAGAGGTGAGGCAGCTGACATTAGAGTGTTGAGTGTGGTGAGAGTTGAGAGATTCCACAGAATGGGGGACACAAATGGTCAGCAGGGACCCCAGGACAAATTCTTTGACATTCTTACATAAAACGGCTGCAGATGATATGGCCCTCATACAAGATGTCCCCTTGTTGCTGGGTCTAATGACTGGCTCAAATAACCAATTGGCCTGTGATTGTCAGTTTTTGAGTTAATACTCCTAGAGCATTTTCAATTATTTTGTGTACAAAAGGCAAAAGAGAAGGCTAGTTGGGATGGCCGAAAGCAGGCACCTGGGTGAGAGCCTGTCTTAAACCCTCTGTGTGCTGTTTTCCCCTTTCTTCCTAGCTGTCCTATAAGCTTGCATTTTATGGTTTCCACTGCTCCCCAAATGAGTTTTCCATCTTCTAAATATGTCTTCAGTTTTCTTGATTACAAATGTTTCTCTCCCATTCTCTCTGTTGTGGGTTCACACCGTTTTTAATCCACTTATCATCCTTTATTAGTGTCTGGGAAGACCAAGGAGGCAATTACCTCCACACAGCCTGTGCCATTCCGTAGAATCCTCACACTGGCTTACAAGATAAGGACTTCAAACAACAGCCTTGGCAGAAATGAGAAAAGTGAGACTCAGGATAGGACAAGTTAGAAACTAATATTGATTTTTCTGTGCAGTGCACACTTTGGGCATCAAATACAGGGACTGGCAGCACCGCTGGGATGCTACTTGTGGCGATCATCTTCTCCCAGGCTCCACATTTTAGCCTTATACAGAGTGATGTCCTTGTAGACCTTGAAGTGGTTCAGCCTGTTGTCCTGGCGTTCTGGGTTGACCTAGAGGGGAGGATGCAGGATGAGAAAAAAGCCTGTGGGGAAGTGGGGAGACCTGGGTTTGGAGTAAGTGGACCCGGGCACTCTGCTGGCGTGTGGCTGCATTGGGAAACGGAGCTGACAACGTTCACATGAAAAGGGTTGTGAGCTTGAAGGAGAACAGCCTATGCCACTTTGCTGCACTCCCTATCCCACTGCCTCCACTGGAGGCCGCACTGTGGGCTCTTTTGCTAACTAGAATGTGAGCTCTGGGAGGGAGGGGCTGTGTCTGTCTTAGTAAATCCCCAGCACCTAGAACCGTGTCCTGTGCACACTAGGCATTCGACACACATTTGTTAAAGGAATGAATGAATGTGTTGAAAGTGTCACACAGAGAACTAAGTAAAAGTGTGCACTGACACATAAATCTTATAGAAGCTATGCTGTGCAACTAACTGCAAATGTTACCAGGAGACATGAGGCTGATAGGGACTCACTGACTGTGGTTTCCCCGTCCCAGTGCTGAGGTTGCAGGTACTCTGCCTGCCCAGGTTGAGGTCCTGCCAGGTAGCTGCGAGCTCCAAGTGGGATTGATCAAGCCTCTTCTGCCCCCAACCCCATCACCCTGAAACTGCAGCTTCATTACCACTTAAGGCTGCACAACACCTGGATCTGTGGCTTTGGGGGTATACTTTCTCACTTTGCCAACAGCGCCATCTGGTGGCACTGGCCCCAGGTGTACAGTGACAAGCAAGCATGGAGTATTTGCAGACCCTTTGCAATTCTAGTGATAACTGAGCTGGGTGCACGTGCGGTTTGTTATCTGCAAAGCATAGGAGGGTCTGAGCAGGGCAGGCCTGGCTGGGCCAGCCGCAGTTGCCCTTCCTGTCACGGTGAGCTTGTCATGAGACGTCCTTCAGGGTCAAAGACACAGCATTTCCACACCCACACTTGCACTCACGTGAGTCAGGTCTTTACTGGTTAAGAAAATGAAAAATGGTGACTTCCTTTAGTTGTGCTTTGTGGTATTTTACTAAGATGCTTAATTAGCAAGCTTGGGTGATTTCTGTGTTCACCCCAACCTCCCTTCCCTCACGACCCTCCTTCTCCCCTGACGAAGGTTCTCTCCCTGAACAAACTCTAGTCAGACTCCCTGAAGCCTTTTCAACTAGGCCTGACTTTCGGATTTCCACGTTCACCTCTGCATTGTCCAATTTTAGCAAAAATCCTGCCAAGTCAGTTTCATCAGAACCCCCACCCTCAATATCTGACCACCCTAGAGGGGTCCCTCTTCCGCCAGCATCCTCCAGGTGATGTCTGATCACCCTGCCCTCCCTCAGCAAGAATCCTGTCAGGTGGGGTTTACACAGAAGCCACCTCCACCCCGATGTTTCCTTGTGGTCATTTTCCATCGCTGACCCCACTTGCTCCTGGCTGGACATTCCCACTTGCCCAGCTGTGTTCAGAGTTGAGCCCGATGGCTCACCACGAACCCCACTGAAACAACAGCCTCTCCATGTGAGAGAGTCTTCCTTCTCCTCTTGACCAATCACCGAGTAAGCCTCTCATTACTCATTTTCATATTTAATAACTGTCCTTCATTTTTTTTTCTGTAATACTCTTACCTCATTCACGATTAGTTAGGCCTCCCCCCTTCCTCTTCTCCAGCTCTCTAACCACACCCCTACCCTCTGGACTCCTCGTTAGTGTAAGTAGTGGGGGCTCCGGCTGGAATCTTCTGTCTCCCCGAGTCTCCTCTCTCCACGCCATGCCCCAAGTCTGAGGAAAAGCTGTTGCAAATGAACAGCTGATTTACTCTCCTCCTCACTGGTAAAACCTGGACGTACTGCACCACCTGTCCACATCTGTGTGAAGCAGCCCTGCAGGAGAGCCACGTGCCCTACGCGGAGTGGCGTAAACAGAGGAGAGGGCCTGGCTCCTGCAGTGGGAATCAGAGCAACACGGCGTGGAGGGTCCTGGGGAAGGGAGCACCCTGGAAAGTTCTGCAGTGGATGGAGGCAACGGAGCCCAGAGAAGGAGCCAGGAGAGGCCCCTGGTTCATTCTAGGTGGGGCTTGGTGTTCTCCTTCCTATTCTTAACATCAGCCCACATTCTTAACATCACAGTAGCCCATATTTTGGGGGTAGTTTCTCTACATTGCTTCATTTAATCATCACAACAAACCTTTGTGTATAGATAATACGATTATCCTCCTCTTAAGACAGATGAATGGAGGCTTAGATAGGTTAAAGTCTTCTCCAAATCCTGCTTTCTCCTTCTAGCAGAAGCCCTGTATTCCTTAGGGTGATAATACGCAGAAAACTATGTTTCCCGGGCTCCCTAGCGGCTAGTTGAGTCCTTCAATCAAATGAAGAGAGCACTGTTTCTAACATTCCTATTGTACAGACAAGGGACCAAAATTCACAGACGTTAAGTGACATGCCAGCCCCACCCTGGTGGTCACTGGTGGAGCAGACTCAGGCACCCGTAACAGCAATCTTTAATCAACACGTATACGGTGTTCCTCTGCACCAGACACTGTTCTAAGAACCACACAAATACGCCCTCCATTAATCCTCATCACAACCTTATGAGACAGGTACGGTAAGATCTCCATTGGCACCCAGGAAGCTAAGGCGCTAAAGAACTTAGTACTTCCAGGGGCCCACAGCTAGGCAGTGGCAGGCAGAATTCACACTGAGCCACCTGCAGCTCCCTGCTCTGTTCTCTTGGCCCCCACCTATGCTGTCCCTGTGCTTCTGCTGTTTACTAAGGACAGAAGCCATACTTACCAAGGGCTCAGGGTCCCATCCAATCTCCTGGCTTTCAGTCTCTGTCTCTGGGTACTTCATCCTTGGTCCTTGGGCAGCATGGTGAATGACATTCAGAAACTTGGCTGGGAAACAAGGTCAGAGTTATGAAGGAGTCAGGATCTGGGACCAGTGGAGGTTCCTGCGCCCTTTACTCTGGCCACATCGTTCCTCAGAGCACAGCATCCGGCCTCGGAGCCTTGCCAAAGCCTGGAGACAGGGGCATCTGGTCCCTCCGCTCTGCTTCCAACAACTACCGGGTGGGCACTGACGCTGTGCCAGGCACTGTTCTGCGCCCTGGGGTTGGGGAGCTCTGAGTGAGGCAGACATGGTCCCTGCTCTCCTAGGACTCACAGTCTGCATGGAGGCAGAGGACACAACATACAGGGTTACGAATAGACCTGATGGTGGCAGGCAGGGACAAATGCTGTGAAGGAAGGAGTGGGCAAGGGGCTGAGAAGGAAGGGCAGCTACTGCAGAACCAGCCTTGCGTAGAGGCAGAGAACAAGCACACCACAGCAGTGAGAGCAAAGGCCCTGGGGCAGGAGCAAGTTTGGCTACTGGAGCCCAACAGAGAGAGCGAGGAGGAAGGTGGTAAGGAGTGAGGCCCCATCCTCCTGGACTGAAACGGGCGTGGCTGCCAACAGCAGACTATCTGCAGCTGCACAGCTCTTCTGCCCAAGAGAGGCAGGCTTTGGAATGAACCTGGGCTTTGCAGTCCGTGCCACTACTAGCCTGTCAGGTGGCCTCACTTCTCTGGGTCTCACTGTTCCCATCTGCAAAATGGGAGGAAAGTGTCTAGCTCAGCAGGATGACTGAGAATGAAAAGAAAGATGACCCAGAGGTCAGGAACCGGGCTGGGCATATCCCTAACATAAGGCAGACAGCAAGTCCTCCTGCCTGGCTTTCCAGACACTCATCATCTGTTTTGTTCCTTACTGCTCCAAGTCCCCAACTTGCATCCTTTATGCTGGATGGGAGTGACTACAGATGGCGCCCTGCTCTCTCCGATCCTGCCCTCCCCCCATCAGTCTATTAGTCTGCCTCTGTCACAGTGCCCTGAGATCCTCGACTGCCCCCTTCCCAGGCTGTCCTCAGACACCCTTCCTCCACCACATTCTGCACCAGGAAGACAGAGGGGAAGAAGCAGGGCTCTCAGGAGGGATCAGCTTTTCACAAATGCCTCTTTCCCCCTTCCCAAATGTGGCCCCTTCCCCACCTGTATTTTGTGGCCATGCCAAACCACCTGCAAGAGTGTTTCTCATTTCTGTGCCTTTGCATACAGCTCAGAATGTCCTTCCTCAGTCTCCTCTGCTTCACCCTATGGTCGCTCCCCCAAGAGGACTTCGAGAAGTCCACGGCCTCACTGAGTCTCCTGTGTTCCATGCTGTTGCCACACCAATCATGGCTGCTCTGCACTTGTGTATTTATTTCCATGTCTCCTTACTTGTCTCTCCGTCATGATACTATGAGGTCCTCGGCCCAGCCACAGCAGAGTGACTACTTAACCATGAAAAGAATAATAATAATAACTAACGTTTACTGAGCACCAAGTGCCAGATACTGTTCTAAGCACTTGCATTATTCTGTTTCATCCTTACAACCACCCTAAGAAATATGCTCAGAAACGTTACCAGCATGCCAGAAGTAAATAAGTAAGTGGCAGTCCTGGGATGTGATGTCAGTTAGTGTGACTCCAGGACCTGTGCTTGTGTGATGAACCAACGAGTGCAATGCTAAGGCCATTAGCAATGTTTTTGTTGGCTTGACGATTGTAATTGAACATGTCAGTCTCTTGTGAGTTTGAATAGTATGAATCAAATTTTCAGAATCAAAGCAGAGGAATCTGAGGCTTGACCCGAGGTTAACAGTAAACTGAGTTGTCTCCAGCCAGTCACCTCCCTGTGCTCTAACTCGATGCCATCGCCAACCCCAGGACTCACCATCTGCAGGTTCCTCCAGGTTATCATGCCAAGACATGGGCTTTCTGGTTATTGGGTGAACTAGGGAAAAACAGCATCACAGGTTCACGTTAAAACACAAATTCCCTGCCCTCTCTAAGACCCAGCTCAGGCAGGACACCCATTTGGCACCTACTAAGTATCTGGCACCTGCCAGGTATTGTGCTTGGTGCTAAGGGACAAAGTTGAATGAAGGCCTCAAGAACCTCACAATCCACAGTGGCACCGTCCAGGATGGTGGGCACCAATCACATGTGGCTCCTTGAGTTTGATTAACTAAAATTAAATGCAATGAAAAACTCAGTGCCTTAGACACACGGGTCCGCACATTTCAAGTGCGCGACAGCCACATGTGGCTAATGGCTACGGTGTTGAGTCCAGCACAAATACAGAACATTTTCATCATCAACAAATGCTCTCCTGGACAGCGCTGGTCTACAGGGAAGGCAAACGGGCCAGGGCGGGTGGCCAGATACTGATCTCTACCCAGGAGGGCCTGTGATAAGACAGCAACAGAATCCACGTTCCACGTTCAGCTCAAAATTACTGCTGTACCGCAGACGCAGCTGTAAACGCGACTCCGAGTTTTCATTCTATTTGTGGTGACAGATGATAAGCAAACGTGGCATCAGGCGGCGTAAGTGTGGAGGAGACGGCAGAGCAGGATGAGAGGACAGAGCGCTGATGGAGGGGAGTGGGCGATGCATGTCCAGAGAGACACGTTTGAGCAGAGCCCTGACTGCCACGGGGCAGTGGGCGGTGTGAGTGCGTGTGGGGAGAACGTGAGCGTGAGCTTGGAGGGTTTGAGAAACCTCGGGAAGGCCTGAGTGGTCATCAAGTGGAGTGAGCTAGGTGGAGAGTGGTAGGAGATGGGCAGGGGTGAGTAGAAACCAGTGGACTCCAAACTGATTATCTTAAACTCCTAGCAGCAAAGTAGCTTTGGAGCACTCACCCCTAGTAGATGTATGTTTAGTCTCTATATACTATTGTCAGTATATCAGCAAAGAATAATTTCTATCTGTATAGGTAAAAGTCAACATCAATACACGTTCTAACATTTTCTCACTCTACCCAATGGATCATGTGCCCAAGGGACTCGAGCTGAGAGGCAGCAGTTTTCCTAGAAAGCCTCAACATTGCCTGAAGAGACTATTTATGTCGTTGCCATGGAACAGGTTTGAGGAGAATTGGACATTAATTTGTTTTCCTTAAATGAGTGGTTAAGAGTTCCAGATTAAACCATGTTAGTTATAATTAAAGACAGTATAAATTCTCTATATAGCCAGACTACAGTGAACTGTAGTGTACAGTTAATTAGGCACACGAGTTGGGGACTAAATTCAGGAAGAAAGAACAATGTTTATGTAGGTAACGCTGCAGAAATGGCATGATGTATTTACAAAATCCATTTATTTAGAAATGGCGGTGGAGAAAGGAGCGTGTGCGCGATCCTTAGCCGTGGCTGTGCAGACTCCGCACCAAGATGCTTATTAAAGGAACACGGTTGGAGGGAAGTAAAAACTTTCACCTCATTAAAAAGCAACCAACAGAAAAACAAAAGCAAAACATAAAAACCCCGAAAAATATAATTATTTCAAAAGCAAAATTATAAAAAGCAGTTTTTATCCTGCAATGAAAATATATAATCGCCACGTGGCTGCATTGTAATTTATCGAACATGTCTGATGTGAAGCGGGGCCAGGCCCTCCCAAGTCCTGGGTCTGAGGTCTAGGAGAGGCGGAGTGAGAGCAGCTCTTCTCCCTCCCTGGGACCCGCACTGCTGCTGGGAGCCCCCAGGTTCCGCCTGAGCGCCGCCCCTGACCCCGCACCACCCCTCGCCCTTCCCCCACCCTGCCACCCCTCACCCTTGCGCAGGGGATTCACGTGATACTCCGTGTAGAGTTTCTGGGTGCGCAGCTCTTTGAGGTACAGTTCCCGCAAAATCTGGTTCTGATGGACCTCATCCGTGACCGTCTTCTCCCTCTGGCGTCCCGCCATGGCCTTGAGCGCAGGTCCTGCCGGCCTCTCCTGCGCGCCCTGCGGGCTGGCCTGGTGCCGCCTCGCGGTCTCCAGGCAACCGCGTCCCACGCGGTCTCCAGGCAACAACTCCTGCGGTGGGACTCTGCTGAGTTAGATCACTGGGCGCCCCCAGTCCCTCACCTGGAGCCATCCCGCCCTGTTCCCACCTCTGGGAACTGTATTTCGTTCCCCGCCTCCTTCCGGTGCTCCACTCACCTGCCTGACCTTCTGGGGACCCAGCCTGGTTACTAGAACCGGCCCTGGACCCCAGCAAAGGGCTGGCCAGCAAGCGGCAGACCCAGGAGATCATGGACGTGTGATGGACCTCACTTGGGTCAATCATTTCCTAAAAAAAGATTTTGGAAGGACTCAGAAGCCTCTCCCACTTTAAAGCAGAGGCACATTAAAAGGGAACAATGAATCAGGGAAAACTAATTTTAAGGATGTTTTATGGAACTCAGTATATCCCAGTTATCATTTCAAAGTTTCAATACCAGAGTATTGAGACATTGTGTTTTCCTAGCATTTCTAATCTTGGGCGAAGGTGACACTTCATGGCACGTCTCAAGTGCTCATTAGCCACACATGGGCAGTACAGTGCTAGAGTTCTTGTTTTCACCCTTTCAGATTTACATCTGCACTTCACCGGAAATTGATTTTCGAGTGTAGTGGGAAGTAGGAATGAAGTCTAATTTATTTTCCAAATGAGTATTCAATTGACCCAGCACCAATTTATTGAAAAGACAGTCCTGTCCCCACTGTTCTGCCCTGCTACTTTTGTCTTAAAGAAAGTGTCCACACACGTGTGACACTGTTTCTGGACTCTGTGCCATGTCATTCGTCTATGTCTCTATGCTTGCAGGAGTACTGCACTATCTGAATTGCTCTATTTCTTGTATGCAGTTGTCATATCTGGTGGAGAGAATTCCCTCTTAGGAGAGTCTTGCCTATTCTTGTCCCTTTGCATTTCCATACAAATTATAACCAGCTTGTCAAATTCCCTAAAAATGTCTGCTGGAATTTTGATTGAGCTTTTATTTAATCAAGATATCACTTGGAGGAGAGCACGTTTTAAAAAATGTCATCTGTTCATCAGATGCTTGTGTGGGTAGGATCTGGGCATGTTCTTGTCTTCCACACGGTGCCTCCCGTCCCACCCTGGGGTAGAGCAGCTGACTGAGACAGGGGCTCAGCCCTCAGATCTTTGATGAGAACACAATGGAGGGCCCCGCCCCCTTTTGTAGAAGGTGTTTCTGAAGGGCAGAGAATCCCTGGCAGGGTTCTAGAATCCTAGGGTGAAGAAAAATGGAGTCTGGGAGGAAGAAGACCAAAAAATAGAAACAAAAACAATCCCAAGTCCCCATCTCTCTACAGCACGGCCTCGTGCCCTGTGAGTGAGTGCTCAGGGCTCACCCTTTCTTGCACTCACTGTACCCCAGCACCTGCCTCCTTGACAGCAGGGGGGATGCTTTCCAACCCTTACTCTGCTCTTCCCTCTCTGCCGCTGGTCCCACAGTTTGCTGTGTGCTTACAGACCAAGTTCTGGGAGAGGCCAGTCACACAAGCGGAGGCTCATGCAGGCTGGCTGATGTGGCAGGAGAGGAAAGGACCAGACTGTCTAGAAAAGGGAACTGTTAGAGGCATCCCTGGCATGTGAGGAGGATGAACAAGATGGGGGTAAAGGCCAAAGGCAGACAGGAGTGAGATGACCAGGAGCCAGTGATGCACGAGGGGTCCCGTAACTCACCGAGGCTGAGCGCGGGTTGCCAGTGTCTTGCCTGCCTGGTGGCCACCATGTCAGGCCGCTGTCCCAGCAGTTCTGGGCTGCTCCAAACTGTCCCAGCAGCAGGGACACCACCTCCCCAGGAGGAGATTTGGGACCTGGCAGGTCTGGCCATGGGTGACTGGACAGTGGGCAGGGATGAGGGTGTAGGGGCCTAAGCAGAGGGGCTGGGAGGAGGGGTGGGGGCCTGGAGGGAGGAGTAGTAGGCAAGGGGAGCCAGGCGAACCTGGGGTTGGCAGAGAGGCCGTCGTCGGGAAGGAACAGAGGAGGAGCTGGTCATGTAGAGCATCAGGGTGGAGTAGTGGGAATTAGGGGGATTAGTCACAGAGGGGAGCTTGGTGGGGCAATGAACAGAAAGAGCTGGGTGGTTCTGGGGAGGAGGCTGAGGGGTGGGATGCTGAGGAGCAAGGGGAGGAAGGATGGTTTTGGACTGAGAGTGTGAAGGAACAGGAGGAGGTCGAGGTTGGGGCTGAGGGCGAGAAACACGAGGGAGTCTTTTTGTCATTTTCAAAAGACACTGCTGCGTACTCACTAGTCCAGAGGAATCAGAATGAGTAAATGGGATGTGCCCAGAGCTCCTCTGGTATTTATGACACACACAGGCCCTCGCATGACCCCGTCACTGAATGCCCTTTGTGACACACACAAACCCCTCCCCCTGGTCTGGTGAGTGGGCCCAGCAGCCAGGAGAATGGCCCCAGTGTCTGCGCATAACAGCGATTGTGGAAACAGCCAAGAGAAGAAATGGGGATGCAATTTTAGTCCTGTTCTTGGGATTCCATGTCGTCTTTCCCCAAAGAAGGCAAAGATTGTTCAAAGGGCTAGGATAGAGTTAGGGGCTTGGGGCCTTGGAGAGCAGTTCTGAGCAGGACCTGGGTAATGGGGAAGAGACAGTGACCCAGACTCATTAACTTACCACAATTTTCAAAGCCCTTTCACATCATTTATGTCATCATTTATATCATCACATGAATATGAGTGATTAGCAAAGAGATGCTATGTCCATTTCACCAGTGAGGACCCTGGAGACCAAAGAGGGCACTTCCACAGGCAGGCAGGTGTCAGAGCAGGTGGGACTAGAAATTGAGACTAAAGAAGGGGGCAGGCCTCCTTTACTGGCCACAGATGGGCACAACACACTGAAGAGTGGCCTCACCTCCCTATGCCTCTGGACAGAGTCTTGCAGGCGCTGCTTCTGAACGGGACTTTACTTTTGCTAGCTGACCTCTTGGTCCCTGAGCTCCCTTGCTTTCATACCTTACTCTTCACTGGGAGCAGAACATAGGGCCAAGGCTGGCAGGGTGACTACCCACCTCTGAGGGCCTCATGACTAGATTGGGGCTCTCTTGCTCACTACCTGAGACAACTAACTCCATGTGAGATGATTAAGGAGGCTACTGCACTCTCCCCCCTTTCTTTTGTTGATGTACCAACCTCTCTGCTTAACATTCCTTGTTTTTTTGATCCCCATCTACATATAAGCCCCTTTGGTCCCCTGTTCTTCCCTGCACTCTTATCACCATAGTCTTCTGAGTTTTTTTCTCCCTGACTCAACACTTGTTTTCTCCCATTGTTAGCAATACTTTGAGTGTACTCTCTCTGCAGGTCTAGCTGCATAATTAGCAAATTTTACTATTTCTTAGACTGCTTTTTATTTTAGTTTAGTTTAGGGTTTTTTGGGGGTTTTTTTTGTTTTTTTTGTTTTTTTTGAGGCAGAGTCTCACTCTGTCACCCAGGCTCTATCACCCATCATAACACACTCCAACCTCAAACTCCTGGGCTCAAGCAATCCTCCTGCCTCAGCCTCCCAAGTAGCTGAGACTACACTATTGCCTGGGCAATAGTGAAACCCCATCTCTTCAAAAATAAAAAATAAAAAAATTAGCCAGGTGTGGTGGCATGTGCCTGTAGTCCCAACTTCTCAGGAGACTGAGGCAGGAAGGTCATTTGAGCCCAGGGGTTGGCAGTTGCAGTGACCTATGGCAACATCACTGCACTCTAACCTAGGCAAGAGAGAGAGAGACTTTGTCTCAAAAAAAATTGGAAACAATCTAAATACGTATAAATAAAGATTTATGATACAGACACACCATAGAATAAGAAAAGGAAATACACAAATAAAAAAATAAGTTGAGTAAGTACTTGAGGTGATACTATAGCAATCGAGGATGAAGGGTAGGTATAAATTATCAAATTTGATAGTTGCTAGGGGCATGGGTTTTGCTGGCTCTCTAGAAGGAACTATCCATTATCACAGAGAAATTACAAGGACTCTGACTAGAATCTGGGTTTAAAAAAAAAAGTTTCTAAGAAACTGAAACCTTGGCCCTACCTCTTACCCTAATGCAAAAGAGTTCAAAATTCAAACTACATGGTGTGGAAACACACAGGCAAGAATTAACATTGGCTCCAGGTCAGTGTTACTTCTGAAGTGTTAGGACAATGCAAAGTTTGTTACTCTGGAGGAACATCACCATAGCCCAGAACACAGGACTTCCCATAGGAAAGCCTCGCTGAAGATGGACTCATAATACAAAATTACAGAACACTTGAGCAAACAATTTACATGAGGAATTGTCAGCAGATACAACAAAGAGAAGATTTATACCCTACTAAAAATGTTATGTAATTAAAGGTAATTGAAATTAAAAACTCAGTGAATAGGATAAACTTCAAATTAGATACAACTTTCTAATATCAGAATGAAAAATATGAACATTGAAATAACAATAATACCTTAGTGAACAGGACAAACCTGATATTAGATGCCATTGAGAGGGAAAGAGAAAAAACATCTAAGGGAATTGCCAAGAGACAGCACAAATAGATGAAAGAAGGAAATTATAAGAGAAAGGTTAAGAGAATAGAACATAAAAGAACAGAATAGAATATAAAAGTCCAACATACTTCTCAAAATAATACCAGAAGAAGAAACACAGAGTATGAGGAAGGGAAATATTTGAGGAGATAATGGCTGAGCTTGTTCAAGAAATAATAAAACTCTTGCATCCTCAGATTGAAGACACACATTGAAGTCCTAGCAGAAAACATACGAAATCCACATCCAGACAAAACAGAGTGAAACTATAGAACATTGAAGACAGAGATCTCAGAAGCAGTAAAAGAGAATAGATAGATTATCCATAAAGGAATGAAACTGGAAGCAAAATTCTTGAAAGAAACAATGAAAGAAGGGAGTGGAGTGATATCTTATAAATGCTAAGAGGAAATAACTATTAAAGTAGAATGTCATACCCAACCAAGTTATCATTCAAAATTATTCAAAATTGAGTGCTGAATAAAGACGTGTTGATTATTTAACTAAAGTACTTAAAAAACGCTGAGAGAATTCACCACTAATACACCCTCATTAAAACAATAAATAGGCCAGGCACTGTGGCTCCTAGCACTGGGGAAGGATTACTTGAAGCCAGGAGTTGGAGACCAGCCTGAACAAGAATGAGACCCCATCTCTACTAAAAATAGAAAAATTAGCCAGGTGTGGTGACACATGCCTGTAGTCCCAGCTGCTCAGGAGGCTGAAACAGGAAGATCACTTGAGCCCAGGAGTTTGAGGTTGCAGTGAGCTCTGATGATGCCATTGCACTCTAGCCTGAGTGACAGAGCAAGACCCTGTCTCAAAAAAATAAATAAATAAGAGAGAGAGAGAGAGAGAGAGAGAAGGAGAAGAAGAAGGAGGAGGAGGAGGAGGAGAGGAAGAAATAATAATTTGATTCCAGGAGGAAAGAAATGCACGAAGCTAAGTGGAGAGCAGGGCATGATGAGCTAAAATTGGTAAGTAGGAAGCCTCCAAGAAGAATGCCAGCAAAACTTGTTGCAGGGTGTGTGCACACTGCTGGCAGTCCCCCGCTGTAGCAGTAAGGAAACAAGAATGGAAACAGACTAGAGCCAGAAAGAGATAATCTGTAATTCCCCTGCTCCTCATAGAGCTAAGAAGGGAATGCCAAAGGGGAAAAAGGCTAGATGTCAGAGTAGTCCTTACAGAAGCACCAGTGGCTAAGGAAAGTAACTGATGAACTGATCATTGAGCCAGACACTGAAGCTCAACAGGAGAAGAAATGAACACACAAGTGTTTAAGAGTTAGTGGAACAGAAAAATGAAAAGAAGTTTGCTGCCACTAAAACCCTAAATGATGAGTTCCAGAAAGTTAATGGCTTGTTCCCAGCTCCCATCAAGCTAGAACCTTAGTTGGCCGCTCTGTGTGCCAAGAGAGCTGCTGCCTTTGTAAAACTGCAGAAGCCAATGCTGCCATCCAGCCGTGTGCGAGAGAGCCCCTGACCAGCTCAGCCCTGCAAGCAGCAGGGACCATGAGAGGATGCAGTCTGGGATCTTGCCCTTGCTTATAAACTGGACTGTGACAAAGACACCAGTGAAATGCAGAAAAAGAAGTCACCCCAAGAGCTGGAGAACTACAGGACACTGGAAGGAGGATCAAAAGTGTACAGAAGAGCAGGTTAGGAAAAAGCCAAAGTGGCAAAGCCTTGGGAGTCACCAAGAGGGTCCGGGAAGGAAGAGGCAGGGGACATGCAGCAACTCATCTGGGTGATGTCCTGGAAGAATGCCTGAAACAAGGGAGTGAGGCTGCATGGCCTGGATTAGCAGAAACGCCTTTGCTCAGAGAAATTCTAAGGTTCCTATGGCAATGCAGGATCCAGAAGTAATGGTGACCTTTCAGGATAGGGCCCAGTTCCCAGCAAATGTGTCAAGTGACCAGAGCAACATGATAGCTAAGAATCTTAGAAAATCATCATCCAAATGTGGAGGGCTAACCTAATGCCTTTCTGGTAAACAGTGTCCTACCAAAAGAAAAAAATATATCCAGATCAGTTACTAGACATCACAATAATTCAAACCAAACTACTTTGACCTCATTTGAAAAAATAATCTGGAAAACTCTGATGATGATCCCTAACCCTCTGGCCCAATGGAATATTTTTATAGTAATGTACTCTTAGTCTTTTCGAATGTTTTCCTACTTATTAGATATAAATTTGAACTATGTCCTAGGCTGTTTTGTGCTGTGTAACAGAAAACCTGATACTGGGCAATTTATAAAGATAAGAAATTTATTTGTCTTGCTGCATCTCTTCTAAAACCTTGTA